AAGATTCTAAAAGATTCTAGTAAATGTTAAAAATTGACTACTAAAAATATTAAATTAAAATTTACGATATATTGCTCGATTATATAAAGTGTCTCTTAAAAAATATTTTCATAAGTTTCCATTTGAACATATGATAATTAAAACTTACTTACAAAAAGTTTCAAAACCGCTAGCAATAAATTTAGTGACATTTACTGTTAATAATTGACTGTTAGAAATTTTACGAATATAATCCAGAACTTATTTTAAAAAGATTCCAAAACCACTGATAAATTGTTCAGTGACGTTTATTGTTACTTTGCGGCAAGGCATAAAATTATCTTCGCGACGGCCCATTGTCGTAGCTTGACGACACGTCATTCGCGGTCTAGTGATCAAAATGTAAAACCCCGCGCGAATTCATTATGGATCAAATTTACGCTGCATGAATGGCGGGTAATACGATATTTAAATCTCTCTCGTCGTGTATGTTTTTCTTAGTTCGTCACGTATTATTGTTCGATCATCGCCATATACTCGCTTTTCATTGGTTATCTTTTGTTATAATAGCGCTCGATCCAAAAAACGATCGGCAAAAATAGCATAAGCGCTCCTCACTAGTCCGATACCTCGTCTCCACATGAAGCCGCAGTGCTGTCTCCAGATCATTTTAGTACGGCCAAGTACAATGAACGACAATAATTCGGAAGTGACCACCGTCCGCGCGAACTATATGCGTTATATGTGCGAGTTATATTTCCACGACGCAATCGCCCGTAGCGGTAGATCAAGCGTGATCTGGGGCATCGTCTCGACGTTAGTAGGCGAATCATCAATCGTACCGACATCCCAGTCGAGCAATGTTATGTAAATGCTTGTCACCCGACATTTCTGGTTAACGATGACACTGATGGCTACTACCGGCGGCATTTAGCCAGAAAATTGATAATTCTGGTAAGCCCAATTTTGGGATTGACGAACATTAGGGAAATGATTCTGTTAATTGTTTAGTAAGCATCAACAGTTTTTCCAAAAAAATGACGGTTTTTTTTTTTTTTAAAAAACTGAACTAGTAAACAGGACACTAGAAAACAGGACACGTTTTCGTTTCGTTTCATTTTCGTTTTTTAACGTAATCCGTACTCTTTCAGTGCAAATAAAATAAAATTGATAAAGATATCAAAAGGCACACTTACTTTGTATGAGTAAAAAGGTTTTCACAGTGAAACAATAAAAGCATTAATCTCCCTGACTAATATCTTTAAATCGATTTGCTCAGCTGTTGTACTTGATCAAGTGTGATAACGTCGCTGGTGTGCAATTATAATTCAGGAGAAAAATTACAATACTTGCGTTTATTATGTGAAAATTATGTGTTTAAAATAAGTTACGTTTCTCATCATAGACAAATTTCCGTTTAACATCAAAAGTTCTTGCAACAGACTCTTAACTAACCTGTAATCTTGAAAAAGTTGCAGAGCAAAAATGAATATGAGGGAAGAGGAGAAGGTAGTTATGGGTGTTATATTTTTGATTATAGTAATTTTTACACTGAGAGAAATGTTTTGTATATGTGACCTACAAATATTTTCTTTCTTTTTAATTAAAAAATTGTATTCTAATCAAAATTTGATTATCCAATATATCATTATTCTAATCAAATTTTAATTAAAACAACAAATTTTTCAATTAAAATTTAAAAAAGTTTTTTAAGTCACATATCAAAAAAATAAATTATTTATACCAAACGTTTTTCTCAGCGAATTGATCTTGAATCATCAGACGAAGCCGCGAGCACGTGCACCTATTGCAATGTGACGACCGCGTGCTGCGACGTAAATATAGAATGAAAAACAAGAAAATAAGAGATTAACTCTGTCTCGCCATGTACAATTCCGGATCTGAAGCCATAATTTCTGCAGCGTACGCGGAAAAAACAGTTTTGTTGAAGTTTCTAAAAATTTAGCTCGATACAGATTTAAAATAATTTTGTTGGATCATCGAAATAATTATATTCTAGCAAATAAGTTAACGATATTTGATGTCATTTTGACGTCAGAATGATGTGATTATAGATCGTTTTCATATCAAATAACGTAAAAACGTCATTTTGATGTTAAAATGATGAAAAATAAAGTCAGCCTGTTTGTTGGAATAGGATGCTCAAATTGGTTATGATGATGGTTATGATTATTAAATCTTTTTACAGAACTATCATTGGGCTCAAATATTATTCTACATAATTAATTAATTTGATAGTCCAAGAAAATTATTTTCAGATTTATATCTAACTATAAATATATATAAATTCTTAAATACTTTAGCAAAATCTTTTTTGCCATGTGCTATCGATTTTTCGCCGACGTATCGTATTACTAAAAATTGGCTTAACAGAAATAGAATTCTAGTTCTCATTTTATGATTATAAAGTAATTAAACAAATCAAAATATAAGAATATTTAAAGAAAACGTTACAAAAGCAAAAAATAAAATTTCCATTATTTAGAAATTTAGAAAGAGAAGTAAACTTCCGTGACGTCATGGGTGAGGCAGATATAATCGCGATTTCAGATTTCGGATTTGATATACAAAAATAATCCTCCAGCTTATTCGTGGAAAAAAAACGCATATCGACGGGAAATTTATTTTTTCCCGTGAAGCTAAAATTAAGTTCGCCAAGATTATATCGATTTGAATTCGTGTTCTTCGTTGTTAGAACAGCGCCTTTGTTTTCCTGCCAAACGATGTTGTCTGTTTTAATCAATCACGAATCCGCGTCTCAATATGTGTATACAGATTAGATATATGCGAACACGCCATAAATCGCGATGTAATTAGAATTCCGCCGCGAGGTTTTGCATGTATCTGGGAATGCGACGCGCGCCTCCTCAAATTCGCGCGGATTCATATTCTAATTTTCCATCAGCGCGGCATCGTAACACCTGGCTAAAATTCGCGCCTGCGTGATAACGGAGGCCTCGCTCCAGCTAGCCCTCGTGAGACTTTCGACGCGAGGGTGCAATTTAAACTTTGGCCCAGTAGCCAATCAACCCCTTGACGAGCGAACGATTTCGGGAAAGTCGGCCGATGGTGGAAACTATAGACTCGATTCGCGCATATTTCGATATCGTTCGCGAATGGTGCAATTCGTGCCGCAAAGTTCGTCGCCGTCGTCTTATTTCTCCGAAGAGTGCCCCCGCGAGGATCGTAATTCAAGAATAGAAGACACCGGTTGCGCAAAGGTAACAGATTTAGGCTACGCCGTGCATCTGTTCACCCCGACGATCTCGATTGCTTCCACGACGTTGCAAAAATAGAGTACCTTGTTTATTCTCAGAAGACCAGAATTTCCGCACGAGATCAATGCATTTTAAATATATATCACTTTTTATTTGATTTTTAATGCACTTAATGTATTTGTAAATGATAAAACAGTTTGCATAATAAAGTTTGCGTTATTACATGTGATAAGAACTCGAGATACGTTTTATAACTTTGCACGGAGTAATCGCGTGAAGAATACGAGACTGCACCGCCTCGCATCTAAGGCGCCTAATTACGTGATACGGATTTAGAACACTCATGGCGTAGTACACTCTTGTGTATACAGCTTGAATGTAGATACTCGAAAGAATCACGTTTCAGACCATGACCCAGAGACGCAAACCACGAGATTAGTCCGAGTCGAAAGGTCATGTTAAATTTTCTCACGGCAGAGTTCACTTTGAGTTTCGGTCAAGATCACAATTACAATATCCACACATCGAGTGTGAATAATATATTTAAGTTTAAGCCTATAAGAGTAAAAGAATCTTTTTCAATTATATTCTAATTATTTTAGCGAGTTTTTTCTTACAGTATTGCAAGGAATAAAAAAATGTTTTGTATCAACAAAATGTGCAATCGTTTCTTTTTCTTTTTCGTCTTTTTCTTTTTTTTAAATATGTATATATTCTGCTACAACATACGGAGCTAAAATTTTTAATCAATTAATCATTTAATTGATCAATTTAGAATTGATTAATGTAGAATTTTTATAACTGAAATAGAGTCAAATAGTCGATAAAATAGAAAAAATAGTGATACTTTCTTATAATTGATATTGCTTTTATATTGATATTGCTATGTTTAGATTGTAAATTAACTTTTTTAAACATTATATCAAAAATTGTATCAAATTGCCACTGTCTTTTTTTAAATGTACATAGTATCATAATTATGAAATACCAAATTTTGAATACAATTGTATCAAATATAGCAATACTGAATTATCATGCATTTATAACAAATTTTGTCATAACAAATTTTTTGTTTCATAAACTGTAATAAATAATAAATATTATAATATGATTAACTTTCGACTACAGCAACAGGTCGTTTGGAAGCAAAAATTTTTGGCAATTGTACAATCTATGCGATTAATATTATGAGGTTCTAAATTTGAAGTAAAAGAACTTTGCATTTTTCTTTTATCAATCGCCGTAAATCGAAAATTCACTTGCACTTTTTAAACACAAAATGCTTTTATTAAGAATTTATTTTAATAATACAATGTATGTATAATATTTTGTATTTAGTAAAATTAAATATCAGCTCAATTTAATATATTCCCAATGTTTAACTAATATATTGCCAATAAATTGCTACTTCTAATCAACATATTAATATTTAATTAATAATGCTGTCCAGTATATATCTTATTATATAATTAGATTAAATACATTTATATTAATTTGATTCAAATCAACACAATAGAATTTAATTAAAGATGTTTATTTAATTATATACTAAAGATATTGATTATGTGTCGTTACACATATATCATACATTTAAAGTAGATTAAATCTGAAACAAAAAATATTTCTGTAATAAAGCTCTAGAAAGTTTTATAATGAAGTATAAATAACTATTAAATTAGACCGAATGAAAAAATCAACTGATTCTTTCAGTGTTCCAGAAGAGTAAATTACAACGTAAGCGATCACGGTCATGGTCTTGAGCTTGAGCACGGATTCCAGCTTCTTGGCTATCACACCGTCTACGATCAGATTTAAACCGGTTAGTAATATGCATGTCTTCCGTGAAACACATACATGTATTTATTAGTGTTAAGATCGTGACGAATCGCGGAACTGGCTTCTCGAGATTATGATCGCATCTTGAAAATGTCAACGACACGACCATGCACGTGACTCTGAAATGAATGTCACTATTATTTCAGTATGATAACATCACATGAGACTTATTAACACTTAGTAACCTCGATGAATAGGCATGTACAGAATCTTATCTAATATGTCGTATCGTGTCCTAGAAAATTATCGATACTTTCCTTCATGCTCGCTATATGGTGCGTGCGTGCGCGCGTGCGTGCGTGCGTGTGTGTGTGTGTGTGTGTGTGTGTGTGTGTGTGTGTGTGTGTGTTGAAATTTGTCCGTCAAAATTTGAATTTAATTAATATTAGCTGCATTTTTAAGCAGCTAATAAACGAAACTGTTAGATAATATTTAAAATCACTTCTACTTATTTCTTTTATTTTTTTTTTTCATTATAAGGTATATGCAAACCAAAAATAATGTATAAATAATAAAAAATTAAGAGATATAACAGATAAATTTTTTTCTATTTCGCATTGTAATTTTATTCCAATAAAATAATAATATTACCTATAGAGAAATAGTGGCGTAATTTATATCCTCAATAAAGAATTAATTTCTTCTAATTAAACTCTTCTAATTTCTTCTAATTAAACTCTTTTTAATTACTCTGTAATTATAATAGTAAAATTACTACAAAAATAAATTACTACATATTATTACAAAAATAAATTACTACATAATAAATGTCACATTTTAAAGATATAAGCAAACGATATGATTAAATTTAAATTAAATTATAAAAGTGCTTTTTTCGCAACATAGAAATCTTCCCGTGTTCTCATTCTGTTGAATGTCACAAGAATTATGAGTGCAACGTACTAATTCATCTAGTACTTAACAAATTATTTTTTTTTATTACTCCTGAGACAGGTAGTTCGCGGAAATCGCGTGAGTAAAAGTTTAAAAAAAGAGCGCGCCTCATTTCTCTGTGTCTTGTTGCTATGGCCTAATGATCCGTTCACCGAGAAACTTTTTCATAATAGAGAAAAAGAGCCCATGTCTTTGCGCTCGAATTCGTTCGGATTCTCGTCGAGGGTGCCGACCTTGGCACGAAAAGCGTCGCGTCTTTTCGAGACGAGACGATTAGAAGCTTGCGTGCTTGGTTCTTGTGCGCCTCACCTTCCTGACACTCTTATCGATGCCCTCGCTCTATCATTTGGCACACGTTCCTCATTTATTTCTCGATTCTCATCAAATACAGTCTTATCTACTCATAAATGTCATTCTTAATCCAAATGACATTTTACACAATGCATTTCGCATAAGTGTTTCTCTATATCTTTCTTCTGAAATATGATTATCTTTTTAATCGTTTTTTTAATGGTTGATATCGCATCTTTTCTGAAGCTGTTATTAAAAAAGCTCAAATTTTCTTTAAAATATCTATAAGCCTCTCTGACGTAACGTTTTTTATACAATGCAATTTCAATCCAATTTATTATAAATAATTTAATTCTTTATTATTTGCGTGATTTATTTAGCCTTTCGCTGTTAATAACAAATTCGTTTGTCACAGGCGAAAATCCTATCAAGTTAAAAGATAGAAGTCTAGTAAATTGTTAAAAATGTGGAGTCAAAAGTTAAAAATCGGATAACAATTTATATTAAAAAATATTAAGAATTTTAAACGTGTTTAGCAGTATTGTTTTTACAATTTCTTGATATTGACGAATTCCAAGAACTGTCTTATTAAATATTATTAATTTTTATTTTAATTATAAATAAGAAAAAAGAAGCAATAAAAAAGAAATAATAAAAATTGAAATATAATGTTGGGATGAGAAACACATCACGCGGTAATTATGTTAAAAAAGCCTATGCAAGTAATATAAGATTAAATATTTTATTTAAATTTTATTTATTTAAAAGATTTCCTCTCTTAATAAAGTTCTGGGATATTCTATATATGTACCAAATGAACATAACAACGTCGTGTTAAAAATGAAATGAGTTAACTATTTCGCGTCTTTCATGAGACGCCAACGGGAACGGCTAATGATAGATAAGACTTGAGCGGTTTTTGAGTAGACGTTACGTATGCCATAACATAGTGGCTGCCAGAACGACGGGTTCTCATGCAGTACGGTCAATCAATGTCAGAAAGCACACACAACTAAAAGTCAATCCAACAAAGCTTCCGCCTGGCACTGATCACTGACGTTCCTCTCGATCGAGTAATGGCATCCGAAACGACGTGCTTGGCATTTATAAATCAACGTGTTACACGCATCGGGCAAGATATCGATCTCGATGTCGAATCTGAGGTTGAGAACCGGCCTCTCGTGGCGCATTAAATCCCGGATATTCCTTAAGCGAGCCTTATTAATTCGTAAGTGCACTCATGATGCGTCTGAGAACGCATCCCACTCTCTGTTTCTGCTAATTTGAAATATTCATTTTGCCGGGGAGAAAGAAAGATTTACATTATTGCTCAAACTTTGCATGTCTCATACATGGAAAAAATGATTTTGCTACAGTATTTAAAATTTAGCTAGATCTGAAAATAATTTTATTGGACTATCAAAGTAATTATATAGGAAGCTGAAGCTGATTACTAGAACGTCAAACGTTTTTGTTCATCTGTATTTGAGTTTCCTACATAATCATTTTGATTGTTCAAACAAAATTATTTCTAGAACTGCATCTACTTAAATTTTTAGATATTTTAGCAAAATCGTTCCGTCAAATTCTTTCCGTCAGAATTAGTAATCGATGAAAAATGTATAAATACTAACAAAGCTATTTAAAAAGCTGTAATTACAAAAGAAAAAAAAACAGTTTGCATGATATAAGTTATATAAAGAATAATTTTTCAAATCTGCAGTATTTGTCTTGCAAATGTGAGATTAAATGATACTTTATGCAAACACGAGTTTATTCACTCAAGTGTTATCACCAATGGAACGTGGTAGTTCCGACTGATGTCATATCATTGAAATTCTAGCCGCAAGCTGACGAGATATGACACTTACCGCGACTAATACTCCGTCGCGATAATGTTCTGTCGCTTTGATTAATCAGTCACTCTTATCACACAACGACGCGACGGCGCGGTTGCCAAAGATAGGAATCGTATAAACGAAAAACTTCAGGAAAGTGTCCCACGTAAAATTTGTTGTCCGTAACGAGAAAGCTTCTTTTTTTCCTCTCTTGTTTCTATGACAAACGATAGTTCTTCCGAACATCGATCATTTAGCAGCAGACCGATCATCCCCCGCGTGGGATAAATGCATGAACGCCGTATTTTACAGCATCCGATATAGTTCCATACAGTATGCTCGCGCCGACACCGACGGAAGCTTTTCACAGAGCGACGCAATTGTTTGGATATGAAACAGAGGGGGAGAGAGAGCAAACACTGCGGAATCGAGCGATGAAAATTCGATAACTGAGACGATAACTCTGGTACTCGTTTATTATAGTCGGCTCGTACCCGTTTTGTTCAATTCACGTAACGAGGCGAAATCTCGAGGTCTCTTATTTCATTGAACGTATTATTATCGTTGCAATTATCATTGCACTCTCGCACGAATTCCGTTCCGATGAGCCACTCGTAATTGTTGCCGGTTATTGACCGTGCTTGACGATTTAGAGTTAAATCTTTAGGACAAATATAATTGCGTATTATTTGTTTGCAAGTTTTTTATATTTAATTAAAACAAGAGAAAGGATCCTTTAATAATAATAATAATAATAATAATAATAATAATATAAAACTTTTGAGGCTTTCGCGGATATTTTCTTTAGAGATCCAAAGGGTTTGTACATAATACTAATTTTGACTCATTTTTCGAATCATTTTCTAATAATTATTCACCCAGTATGTAATATTGCAGTTATATTATATTGACATTACAATATTGCAGAAATTACAATTTGCAATGCAATATAATAAAATCACTTCTTAATCTTTTACATTTATATATGTTAATTTTGACCGATTCGACAATTATATAATATTTTATCTGGTATATTGATGATACAGCATATTTATTTAAATGTCTGTATATTTATTACTGTTAGCTGCCAATTCTGCATCGAAAGTATATCCACTGTGTTGAATGCCAAGCAGTTTCTACATACATTTGAAACATCTTTTCTTACAAGAAGTCCTTCTTTTTATAATCGATAGTGAGGCGCTTTATGAGATTCTGTAATGGAAGATATCTCGAATCACAATCAAATGTATTAATCCGATAATATGAATTTCAATATTAATCTTTTTAATTATATTATTATTAATTATTCATTTATTTTTTTTTTCCTACTTATTTACTTAATGAAAAATTTCTCATAACTTAAGTAAATCCATAAATTGCTGAAACTGAAAATGATAATAAATTTATTCTCTTTATTTGATCCCTCTTCTTCTTCTACCTACAAACCATTAAATTAACTTAGAATACTTATTTTATTTATCTTACTCTATCAATTTTACGGCTGAAGACTTAAAGTTTAAATAATGGCTTATTGTAGAAAGTCTAAGAGAAAAAATTGAAAAAAATTTTTTTTAATATTACTGAAAGAATTTTATATAACTTAATACAGCTTTCGTTAAAACTTCTTCTTTGTTCACACATCTTTCTCATTCGAAGTATCTCCGAAAATGTCGAAGGAGATCGATAAACCAGTGTACCTTGGAAAGTTCAAAATATTGGCGAATAGCCAAAAGCTATACGATGACAGGATAATATCGTGTGCTACGGCGCCGAAATAACCGCGTGTTCGCAAGATGAAAGCGTGATTTTATACCGGGTATACCGTTGAAGAGTTAGATTTACCATCGGAATCGCTTCGCTCGCTTTTCACTTCGGATTTGGAGAGTAATTTCAGCCGACCATGAAGTTAACGGCCCGCCAGCGAGTATGAAGGAAAAAAAGAGAGAAGCAATTCAATTCACGAAACGTGCTCTCGTCGGAAGGATTGTAGCATTTGGCTGATTAGAAAAGAGTATGAAAAGAGAAATTCCTTCTTTCTATCTATTCTGGAATGATTTCTCAAAGAGCTCATAAGTATAATTAAATACGATCATTCTCTTATTTCAAAAGTGATACAAATAAAAACATATGATTTTTGAATTATTAAATAAGATAAATTAACTTTAATCTAGTAATCAAACGTGAACTAATTTAACTTTTATAAAAAATCAAAACATTATAGCTTATAAAAAGAGTAGTTAAAAAACTTCAAAATTAACATGTAGTTTTTTAAATGAACAAGTATTGAACAAAAATGACCAAAATAATATTTTATTTATGTTAAGAATATATTCCTTTTGCCGATATTATTTAATTAATTAATAATTGTTTATTAACTTAAAAAATAATTTTCCCTTTTTTCTAAGAAATATATTGTTTTGAATTGTGCCACTTTTGAAATAAGAAAGCGATATATTTATGTAACTCCCTTATAACATTTATTAGAATTACAATGTATAATAATATAGTATCAAATAAGATAATAAGACATTTGAAATATAATATAATAGGATTATATAAAAATGTATTAGAGGAGAGAAAATATAATTGAGCTAAAATAACTAACACTAGACATTAATTCAATCTAGAAGAGAACATGTAATAGATTAGGATAATCAATAAAATTTTCCGATCGAGCTTTGTCACGTGTTCCTCATAATTTTCAGCGTATGTATCGATGAATCATGGAACAATAAAAAGAAATGTAGGTTGAAGAAGCGATTCCAGCGCGCGCTTCGGCGGAAATCACGACGTTCGTTTGACAGGAGAACTGATTCGAGTTCCCGGTGATAAAAGTGTTTCCCAGTGAGTGCGTTTTAATTTATATTACAGCGCAGTACTATTCGATTTCTCGGTCGAACGTAAATTTCGACCAGGAAAAGAATCTCTAAAGAATAATCTGTCTATTGATCCTATTAATAGAAGAACACTCTTTCTTTCTCTAGTTAAATTTCATGATGATATCGTAATCGTAACGAACCTAGAAAGGAAAAAAAAAGGAAAAGTAAGTAATTTGAAAATAAATTCCTCGTAATTATCGAAGTTTTTTTTTTATGGAAAGAACAATTTTGCCTCAAATATTGGGTGAAACAAAAGTTTATAGCACTATTTTCTTATTAAGTTTAGCACAAATTTTCAAATTCAAACCGCTTAAACTTTGTTAATAAAAATAAATGAAATTTAAATTAAAAAGAATTTAAATTTTCTACTTTTAGAAAGTCATTATGTTTTTTGAATTTGGTATTTTTTACATATAGAAAACTACGAGCTGGACAAAATGGGAAAAAATTTTTTTTCTGTTTTTAGATTTATCATATGCTTAAAAAACTTATAAAAAATTTTAACTCTCTGAAAACTTAAAGTTTTCACTACAAAATTATTTTGTAAAAATGTTCCTAAGATTTTTTATTGAATTATATATCACGGATTAATTAAAAAGTATTTTGATTTTGATTGTTCATAACTTCGTTAAAAATTGTATTGTAATAAAAAAAAGCCGATTCTTAAAGCCGAAAACTAAAATATTGTGCTTTATCAAATAATATAATTGCTAAATTTTTTATAAAAAAATATGTAGATGATACAAATGAAATAACAACAAACTTTTGTTCTAACTTAATACTTAAAAATTTAGATAAATATATAGATATAGATATAGACAACAGAAAATAATTTTGTTAGACTATCAAAATAATTATATAGGCAATAATTATATAGACAAGTTAGAATTTTTTTTTAATTATTAGAATTTCAAAACTTGGATTTCCTCTAAAAATATTTTCTTTAACGGTTCTGTCAAAATGATCGCAAATAATATCAACTTATTTGCTAGGGCATAATTATTTTGATCGGTTAGCAAAATTATCCTTAAATCACTATCAACCTAAATCTTTAAATATCTCAGCAAAAATTCGTTCTTATTCCTCTTCCATTTTACATTGACTTCGGTTCTCGCTGCGTCGAGATCGAATTACTATTCAGAACTATAAAGCGGAATTGCGAAAAGTAGCTTTTTCCAGCCTATCACGGAGTCCCGACCTTCGACGATGATAGGTGGTCGTAAGGTAAAGCATACGACGAGCAATGAAACCACCACTACGTCCATGGTCACCGACGGCATTACCAATAGGAGTGACAACAATGTCGTTGTCTCCACTGTACAACCGACCACCACTCAGCAAGTAAGCTTCTCTCTCTCTCTCTCTCTTTCTCTCTCTCTCTCTCTCACTCTCTCATTCGTTGTGCATCTTCGTTTTCATTACGTCGACGCGTATCACGTCGATGGGTCGGTCGCGCGACGTCTCGCGGCCTCGGGAGAGCGAAGAGCGGTAGTCTATCTTGCGGGACGCGCGACTCCTCCGCAAAGTGTCGCGTCGTCGTGTGATATCGGACTCTCGCGCATTCAACATTCTCGAAGTTAGACGCAACATTGTGATTATTCAGCGAAAAAAAAAAACGAAGTTGCCGCGCACGGTTGACAGGAGTTTGTATAGTATATATGCGCGACGCGTATAATAAGATAGACTTGGCCACGACGTCTTTGAGTGAAGCGATCTAGATCTTGCTTCCGAAGTAAGTTGCTCCAGTTTTGATGAGCTTTTGGTGCTTAAATGTAAATACATATATCTAACGTGCAACGATATAAAGAACGACAATATTATTATGATATTGTCAAAAAGAAAATTTCTTTTTCTCACTATCCTGTTTTATTAGCAAATAAATATAACTAGCACTATTTAACCTCTTCTGAAGTTGACAGTGAGTCTATTAATCTTTCTTAATTATAAATGTCTTCATAAAAAATATCAAATCAATTTTCTTTATATCAGCAAATTTAATTTAATTCGATTAAAATACTTAATATTTATTCTTTTTATATTAGTTCGAGTTCCCTGAAATTAATAATATTTTTTAATTAACATAGATTAAATAGATCTTATGAATTTAGCATTAGTAACTGTTATAGATTTGGCATCAGCTTTGAAGGGTTAATAATAAATTTAAACGATTAATATAAAAATTCACACAATTATCAGCTATTATAAAGATAGACAGTTACTAAAGATAGATCAAAGACTTTCATTTAGATAGTTTATTTTTGACATTTATAAAAGTTGTGCGTTTAGTTGGGATTTAATTTTGAAAATATTCTCTGTGAATTAAAGAGAATTCCAAAGTTTAACTTTTGTGAATAGATGGAGTGATCAGAACACTCTAGGTATAGTTTTCTTTAAAACTTTGTATGAAAACTCTTCTAGTAAGGAAATAAAAAGTATCGTCATAATCGATGATCAGAAATCTTAGAGTTCATCATTTTTACATTCCTTCATCTCATGAGATTATAATGTAAATTTAATCTTTAAATAAGTAGGCTATAGCATTCTACGCATAATTATGTTAAAAACTTTGTTTTAGAAAAGAAAAATAAAAAGAATTACTCAAGACTTTAAAATTAATTATTTTTACATGCTTCTATCTCATAAAAATGTAAATAATGTAAATTTATAATTCTATAATGCTATTAAAAAAAATAAAATTTGTTTTGGGTGTTCTAAACACCATTCATCTGCTTAAAAATTAAGTATAACATATTAGTAAAAAATATAATAACAAAATTGAAAATCTTTTTGATGTTCTGAACACTCCATCTATCAATTTGCGTATATCTTTAAACCGTCTACTATCTACCCACTTAAAAGTCAATCAAAATTATTCTGCGGTTTATAAATTGAAATTTTTTATTAATTATTTTTCACGAGGTTTCTTAGAAGTGCTGAAACAGTGTAAATACGTAATGGACACTCTACACAAAGACATTTGTATGAACATATAAGGAAAAAACGTGAGCATGGCTCTCGCATTCGTATCTAATAACTCGTGTGTAAGTACATACGAGGCACCAACCGACGAAAGCTTAACTGACATATAAATAGCGCATTTAAAGAGAGCCGGCTAGAATTTTCCCGCGTGTACGTCTTGCGAGATCGTCAGGAAGGCACGAGTCGCTTTCCGAGGAAGACCGTGCGATTGGAACGGATTCAGCGATTGTATCGAACGGACACGTGATCGAAAGACGTCAGAGATCTCGCCAGAAGAGAACTTTTCAAAGTGCGTGTAATTCGTTAATCAATTGTTTCGGTATCTGTAACGGTATTCGGACTCGTGATGTGAATGAATAAATTGATGTTGTGAATTTGGAGTCTCCATTGCTCATGTTTCCGTCGCTCGTGACATTCGTGATTCATAAATACAACATTTATCATTATAGTGCGAGGAGATTCTGAGCGCGTTAAGTTGCGAGAAATGATTTTTTATTGATAATTTGGAGAAGATAAAAATTAGATATACGAACATATATGTATTTTCTTGGATGTAATTCTTGAATATGCAATAAATTATATATATATATATATATA